GGATGAAGTCAATCGACCTGGCAGAACTGACATCCCGTTCCTGCCTCTGCCACCACCTGCTTTTTGTTTCCGTGGGTAAAGTCTGTATCTGAGATTTAAGAGCAAACTTATAACACGTGTATATTAGACAAACTGCAGGCAGGAGCTGCTCAAAGCCTCGGGGCTTTTCTTATTAGGTGTGTGCATTATTCTCCGTGTGATACTTGTGGTGATTTTAGTGTCTGCTGTTTAAGGCTTCCTCTAAAGAAAGGCCAGGGTTAAACCAGTGTAGATCTGAAGAGGGCAGCGGAGCGATGGCAAAGCAGCTGCAGACAGGTTTAACATAAAGTGCGTCTTGCATCGAACTGGGGAATGTTCTGCATTGGAACGGGTTAATAGAAATGGGCAAAGCAAGAAAATGAGTGCACGTTCTGCTTAGTTAATAATGTGCATGAAAATAAGCGTTGGAGAAGGGGATGAACGAGTCCAGAGACGGCAGCTCCTCGTGTCCAGCTCTGCCGCCGCTGCCAACACCCCTGTTCCCAGACTGTTTGTTTTTCCTTCCATTCCTCTCTTTTTATATCCCAGGAGAAGCAAGGGCTGTATTTCAGCGTTTCATCCCTATCGTGAGCTACCGTGTATTTAACTGGCAGCCTGATAGCAGCTTAATGCCAGAGATCAATGGGTTGTTCCCTGTTTTCAGAAAGCTCCTTGTGTTTTACCCGGGCTGGTAACAGCTGATATGGACACAGCTGATGTTGTGTGCTAGAGCTTTAAAACAATGAATAGAACATTCTTGGTTAAGGATCATGATTTGATGGGTTTAATACGTTACAATTAAAGCCACGTGAAGGTGTGGGAGAGGGAAGTTAATTGTGGCACTCTGAGGTCTGTATTGGTCCTACTCGCATGAGGCTGTAAGCCGGTGTGCAACTTTGCATTTCAGGTTCAAACTAAAGAAAACCATAATGCAAACCTTGACCTGAAGCAGCTTCATTTCAATAAAGCCATATTCTGTGTGTGTGTTTTCCACTGGAACTTAGACAAAATTTGCATGAAGCCTTGTCCAGGCTGATCTGAATGTGAAGCCAGTGACTCTGTTCAAAGTCAAGCTTGAGATGTCCTGCATTAGGGGAAAAACTAACCCGTAGTTGTAATACAAATAGGAAAAGAAGCAGTTAATGTGCATGGAAGTTGTTACATGCATTTCACTGAGTGCATGGTGGAGAAGAAAAAGGAGCTGTTTGCATTTGGGTATGTTTCTGCAAGTTCCTGTTTAGAGAATGTTTTATAAAACCCCTCTCCCTTTAGTGGGGGTATTCATATAGGAAATAATTCTATTTGTTTTCATTTTATTTGCTTAATTTCCACTAACCACATTTGTTTAAACTCTTTGAGATACTTGAAAAAAAACAGGATGTTTCTTTCTCTGCAGTTGCTCATATTAGTCCATTTTCTTTCTCAGATGATATCAGAATCATCTGGTTATGGCGTAATGGAGGTTGCTCCAGCCAACTGCTAAACATTGAAACGTAGGGTTAAATCACATCTGAATTTTTCCTCAAAGGAATTGGATGCGAGTCTCCTCAGAAATACTCTTTTCTTTTGGTAGTGATGGCCCCGTTTGAGGCTATCCTAGTGAGAGCTTCCCCCATGGAGTTAGGTTTAAAGCTTTCTTTCTGCTGTTTTCATTTTAATAGAAAAGGAATATTGAGAAGGTTTTCAGAACTGTTGGTTTTCTGGAGGTGAAAAGACTACGGAAAAAAAGTTCATTTTTTAAAAGATGTTGCAAAATACATAAGTTATGAGAAAAAATAAGGAAGATGTCGACAAACTTAGCAAAGATCAGCATATGGAAACGCAGTTTTATTTTTGGAACCTACATACAGCTCCATTCCATTTGTGAGTTATCCACAGATCCCGTTCCTGAAACCACCCTGGCTTTGACAAACGTGAAGCCAAGGAGGCAGGGGGGTGACCTGGCTCTTGGGGCACCTTGGGACACCCCTGGCGCCACTGGGGAGCATGGCAGGATGCCTGTGTCTGCCTCCAGAGGGGAGCACGGAGGGACCACCGGCCTTGCGAACCCCCGGATAGGAGTATGGCCATTTACACTTGAACACACTTATTACAGCTCCTCAAGTAATGTAATTTTAGAAGCGCCTTGGGTCCAAAAATACGACAATGCATTAAGCGCAAAATCAAACTGTGGAGGTTCATTTTATTTCCATTAAATTCCACTGTGAATATTGCAGAAGCTTTGGTTTTATTATTGCTAATTCCAAGCATAATAAATAGGCTTCAGGATCTAGGCTGATTTATTATCGTTTTAAACAGGATGATATTTGCAGCCTTTCATGAATTTATACAGTAATGTCTATTTCCAGTTTCATTCTTCTCATTTAACTTGAGAGACGCCATCAGTACTAAAATCAGATCTATAAAATAGAATAATCACTTTCCCTTCACCGTTAGATGTATCTTAACTTAAACTGAGGGAATATGGGAAAGATTTGTTTTTTCTTGTCACCTTGTCAATCTGAAGGGTTTTTTTTCTTGGAGGCAGCTAAAACTCAGTGGTTCAGTTGGATAATTTTTATTCAGGCTTCAGAACCCTTTTCATTGTTTGTACTTTCTATATAGGTTCATACAATGAAACTAGGTGGTCTTTTCCTCATCACTCGCACTTCTTGTTTGCAGTTTGTACAAAGCTAATGCGTTTTGTTCCTGTTAATAATAGTAAGTTACTAAATCAGAAATGGTACCAACCTCCAAGCAAACCGAATGCAGACTTTTAAAACCTGTTATCAATCATTTTCAATGTAAATGGTCATTTTAGATTTTATAGCAACTTCTTTGATGTGAGGCCATTTTCCATGAGGATAAATCCCAGTCCTAAACACCGCAGAAAGAACTGAAGATAGAAGAACATACCCAGCTATTTCCCAAAGGCATGCTGTTCCCCAAAGAGAAATTCACACAAGTCCATTTAAGTGAATGTGGAGGCTTTTCTCTCAGTTGGGCCAGTTGTAATGAGGTGAAACCTGAACTTAATGGCTTGGCCCAGAAAATCCTCAACATGGCTCACAAATTGGAGCTAACACCCAGACAAGCTTTGCTTGCAGGTTACCCAAAGACTGTTTGCTGTTCTACACTAATCGGTTCGGTCTGAAAATAAACCAAGGGCTGAGCAGTCAGAGCGGTCCCCAAACCTCTGACCTTCTGGAGGGGAGAAATGCACCACAGAAGGGATGCTCTAATGCTTTACCCAGCTCCCCTGGGGCTGATGTTGCTGCACTTGCAGAAAGGAATCAGCTACTCGGTCTTGTGCTGCCCTGAGCATCTGTGGCCCTGGTTGTTGTTAATAGCAATGTTTTAGTTCTGTAGCTTGTGTACAACGTGATCCTGACACTGTTCCTCTGTCTGAAACACAGCAAGGGCAGCTGACTTACTAAGTCTCAGTGTTTCAGGAAAAGCCTGAGAGTCCAAAGAATTAATGGAGCAAAAGGAGATAATACAGTAACCTCTAGCTTTTAGTCCCAAAGTGATACAACAGGCCAGTCGAGTTTAAATAAAGGATAAACCATTAAATCTTCAGGGGCTATTAACACTGTCATTTACTGAGCGACTCCTCTGGTTGCAGCCTGCATTGGTTTCTATTCCTGTGTATTTGGCTTAGACTTGATTTCATGGGGTCTGTGTGTTTGCCTGTTGTGTGGAAGATGTTGATGGAGAGCAGCACCGCAGTCCCTCAGGCTGGGATGGGCTTGTGGAGGGTAACACGGATGGGTTTCTTTTTTATGGGTCTGTCTCCTGTATACTCCAAACTCCCAGCATACCCTCAGTTTTATCAGTCACAGAGGTCTGGGATGAGCTGGGGCAGGATTAAATCTTCCTTTCAGTAACATCTATTAAAACCCAAATATAAGTCCCTCAGAGGGCAGCAACAGGAGAGCGATGTGGGCATTTCCCTTCAGCATTAAAAGCACTTAGCATTAGATTAGAGTCCTCCCCTAAATAATACTGCCCCTGATTTATTCCCCGTAGTGATTATGAGCTACGGGAACACAATCCTCCTGCAAATTCCCATGTCCATCTCTCTTCAGCTTACTTTGGAAATGCAGATCTGGATCGTCTTCCGCATGGAGATTTTGCTTAACTCTGTGTACTGATTTCAAACCCTTTCTTTATCACAGCTTATTTGTCCAGAATGGTTGGGTAGATGATTCCCTTTGGTGCTAGGCCCACATGGACTTTTGGAAGCTGCTGTGTTAATGTATAAAATGAGGTTATTCTCCTATTGCCTTGAGTACACGCATAGGTTTCTCTTCCTCATCATCACACTGGAGGGCACCATGCCTTTTATTTCCTTGAGAGAGCAGTAGCAGTTTGTAAGATGAATCTTTATGATGTTGGCTGCTCAGCTATTCTTTTTTATGAGAGTCTTTCAGGATTTTACTGTTCACAGTTAAAACATCCTAGAGAGCCATGTGCCTCTTGAAAACTCAGCAACATCCCCCCCTGGGGTAAATGGCAGTGCTTCAGTCAAAGGAGGGATCAGACTTGTGAAGAAACACAAGAAGAGTCATGCAGAAATGTACATAGAGATGTAAATCCTTAACACCAGGTATAAGATATTCTTCAGGACATCCTAAAACTCCCTGGTCAATGAGTCGCTGATCACAATACTTGAAGTAGAGCAAATGCCTTCAGGAAGGCAAGGAGGGATGATTAAACTTAAAGGAAGGGCTCCAACTTGGCACCAAAATCTGCCCAAGATAACACTTGGAGTAAAACAGAAGGTGAAATAAATACCTTTCCAGAAAGCTGTCCTCTAAACTGGCATCATCATACTGGTTATTGGTTAGTGATTATCATCTGTGTCAGGCAAAGGGCTTTGTAGAGTAAAGGCTGAGTGTTTTACATTAAGAGACAGGAATATAAGTGTATTTTTGAGTTTGCTTTCTGTGCATAATGTTTTACCATTCAGTTACCAGTGTGGGCTCTCCAGTTTATTGCAGTTTTCTATGGGCAGCCTTTGGACATGCTCAGCTGCCACAGTTGCCCATCAGCACCAACATCACCCAGCCATCACCATCCCGGTGCCCTGAGCGCCTGTGCAAGCACAGATGCCCTTGTGCTCGTGCGGACACGCACAGAGGCCAGAGGCAAGGTAGGATTTGGCTTTTAGAGGGTCTGAGCTGCCGTTGGCATCTGTGAAACACAATTTCTGCTGGGCTCCACCCCTTCTCCCTCCAAACCAGATGAAATATTTATTGGGTTGGAGTGTAAGGGCTCAGTGTTCCTCTGCAGAGGAACAGGGGAGTCCTGGTTCTGACCAGAAATTTCTAAGACTTCTTTGTGGCTACTAAACGTTGGAGGAAAAACCACAAATTACCATTGCAGTGGGGCTGGGCCCTGTGTCCTGGCTCCAGTGCTTCCCTATTCCCTCCCCTCTGCCCTCCTGTTTTAAAGTGTGCTGCATCTGTGTCAATAAGTACCCCATGTATATGGCAAGGTAATATTTAATGTGCACACAGTGTGTGCAAAATTAACCACTGACAGGGTGGAGGAGTGAGGGAAGAGCAGAGTTGTAATTACACACAAAATTAAGCTATTACTGTGATTAAGATACTTCTTTAATAAGCAGCTGAGGAACCTCCTTTCCCCCTAAACTAGTCACAATTCACCCCCGGGGTGTCATTTTCTGGCTACTCCTAAACTTTTTTTCCCCTTGCTGCACCTAATCCCTGTATTACCTGCCCATGGGCGAGGTGCTTCTGCCGCAGGGTGGCTATGGTCCACTTGGAGATCCACCTCCCTGAATTGCCCTGAGGGACACCAAGTCCTTCCCCATCACTTGGGCCAGGTTTCTGGGGTCCTGGAAGCAGTTTGTCCATGTGTCCCAGTGTCAGTTTGTCTCATATTAGCATCTCACCTTCCACACGAGATTGATTTGAAGGTAGTTTCATGCACTTAATTAGTCCATAGGTGGAGTTGAGCATCCATAAGGTAAAAGCATGATAGAAAAAGGATGGAAATGGAGATTTTGGCATATTGAGTGTCAGTTCTGTGTTGGAAATGGGAGAGCAAGGAAACGCTATTTTGGTGGGATGGGAAAGAAGAGTCCTGAGAAGGAGGTTAACAAGGATGGCAGAACACCATTCATACATAAAGCTTTGCTAAGCAGCCTTCCCCTCCTTGTCAGCACATACTTGAGTCACAATACTGTAAATAGTGTGCATTTTTGGGATGATTGTTGGAACCACTCAGGACTTTAAACCAAGAACAATTGTGCTCCCGCAAGCAACATTGCTTGCATTTCACTGCGTTACAGATGGCCCTATTTTACACTTCTTTCCAGCATGTTTTGTAAAGTACAAATGTGATATATGTGACTAATGGGCAGAGATTTGGTAATATTTCCAGTAAAATTTTGAGCAAACATTGCTTAAAAAAAAGGGAATTGTTTCTAGAAAAAGGAGTATTTCAACAATATATCAACATTCCAAAAAATGATTTTCAGGAAAATGTCTTTTTTTTAAAATGAAAATATTTTCCTTAGAACTAACACTGGTCAAGCTGTATTAACGATATTGGGAGAGCTCGAAGTGACAATGAGCAAACCATGAAAAATGGACAGAAAACAAACACAGAATCACTCCAGTCCTGGCCTGCTCTTTAGTTATATTGGAGACTTTCCAGGGCTTCCATTTTTCCACCAGTGTTTAATGGGCTCTCTGTTTGCATTTATGTTTTCCTGATCTTTCAATCTCAGAAATGGCTGCTTCTGGCAGGGCTCTATTAGCATCACTCCCTTCATTCCCTCTTTTCAGTGTGTGTGTGTGCCTCTTTTTCTCCTGAGGTGGTAGGAAGGCAGCACCTTGATGTGAATGCATAGAGGTGAATACAAAAAGACTTGGGAATCGGGGGTTTCAAAGGCTGTGTGAGACTCCATCAGTGGATTCCGCTCGTACACGCACTCCCTGGAAAAACTCCCTGCCCCAGAGGGTTTATGCCAATTAAAATGTAGAGATGACATCAGTGAAATTAACCTAAATTTTGCTTGACCTGGAATTTAGGTCAGTTTAAATCATCATTTCACCAGGGCTGTCTGAGGTTCAAACCCATGCACAGAGCTATAGGAGCAGAAATGTACTTCAAAGCAGAGTTAGCTCCTGCAAAGCCATCCCAGAGGTGGCTGCAGGGCTGTATGGGAGGTGACCACCAGCACTCCTCTCACTACCCATGCACATGCTGATACAATGAACTGTCCAAAGCATGGCACTGCTCAGTTGGTACCCGAGGGCATCACTCCTGAACAGTGGCTCTGTGAATGGACATGGAGCACAAGGCAGCACTAGGTTGTTCAAGGGGAGCTGGAGTGTCCCGGAGGAAGGCAGAGCCCTGTCAGGTCTGTAAAGTCAGCACAGCACCGACACTTCTTGGCACTGTACTTCAGGACTTGGCTGAGAGTTTAGGTAGCTCCAGAGTTTGCCATAGGGCCCTGTAATATCTGAAAAGGGAAAGGATGGCATGTTCACGGACCCAAAGTGATTTGAATTCAGTGACAAGGATCCCACAGGCTCCATGCTCCTGAGATTTGTATTCCCTCGTATGGGCTTTCAGTGCCTAAGGGTTCTCACGTTCCCAGGTATGCACTGACATCGTGCCTACCTCTGGACATGTGTTACTGGAAATAGCAATGACCTCCTCTTCCTCAGTTGCACTCCTTATCTCCTGGGATGATGATATCTTCATAGCTTGCCTGTTGGATGGTTCCAGCATCAAAAACACTATAAAGAAGTTGAGCTGCCTGTTCCTTTCAATGTTTGCACCTTGTAGCACAGCCTCTGTGGTATTCTGTTTGCAGTTCCTGTAGTGATTTGTGCTGTGCTCACCCTTGTGCATAACTTGGCAATCATTAGAACAGAAAAAGCCTCATTAAAATAATGGAAATGGCTGATCAGCACGTGCATGGTGTCTTATATGTGGTATGTTTTAGGGACTGCATTTGCAGTCTGGCCATATTTGCTTATTTGAGCCCCCAGGATGGACACAAGTCCAAAGTTCTACTCACAGTGTATTTAAGCACTAGCGTAACACTTCTTTCTTCACAGAGCACTACAGCCTTGCACACAATTAAGTGTTTTCCACTTCTCCGATGAAGACAAATGGCCCTTGCAAGCAAGCTCGGGACTTTGCCCTGCAAAGCTTGCTCTGATCAAACGGTGGCAGTAGGTTGCTTTGTTAGAACGATTCCTCCGTGGGTTCACATGTCCCACCCTCATGCAAATAAAGCTGGGATTTAGAAGGTGTGAGCTGGCATGGCAATGAAGCCTGCAGAATGTAAGCTGCAGTAGCCCTTTTTCCGAAGCCTTGACAGTAAGCAGAGTTAAATAAGAGACTGGGATCTCATTCAGTATCTGTGAGTGGGAGAAGTGTTGGGGAAAATAGAGTCATGCGTTGCTCTAATCCATCCCTCCCTTAAAGCGCGCTGTGGTTTTCGTTGTTTCTGTTTGTTTTAATGTAAGGGGGGGTTTGTGCTCTTGGATGTGTTCCACAGGAATAGCTGTGAATTATCACGGTGCCAGCACAGGGGTGTGGGTGGCAGAGACTGAAAGCTATCTCAGCGTGCGTTCCCTAAAGCTGGAGTGATGTGAGGTAACCTTTTGAGAGCATCTGTGTGCTGTCGAGAGAGATGAGGGCTTCCAAGGACTTAAGTCACTAATGGTCCAGGATACGCAGCACCACACTTGGAAAGGTTACAGACAAACTTAGCTATACGTTCTTGTTCTTCAGGATTCAGTCCAAGCTCCGACTCGGCAAATAGAGAAAGAAACCTCTCCTGGTGTTAGGTTATTCCCTATCTGGCTGCTGTAAGGTGTCTGCTGCAGCAGCCGGTACCAGTTGCTGCTGCAGTACCTGGATCCCTGCAGGCAGTTTTCTCCTTGCTGTCTGCCGGAAGCATCCAGCTCTGCAGCCCTCACACTGAGCTCTGTGACCGTGCAGTTTGGCAAAGAAGCAAGGAGAGAAGGTCTGATTGCCTGTTTGTATAACACAGCGATGGAGCTTTTTGGCTCTCGGTGTGTGTCTTCCCTCCGTGAAGCAGAAATCTTGGGTGCTCCTTTCCCCCAGGATATGCCTAGCACGACATATCTGCCATTGCCCTGTTACACGCAGCTCTAACACCGTGAATAATATTAACTACATTTGTTCAGTAACATTAGATAGTGACAGGGACACTACCCCACTCTTCTGCTTTAATAGTGGGCCAAATCTGCCTGGATTATGCCACTCCATGGCAGGCACTGGAGATCTGTATGTGCAGCTGCCTGGTATTAACAGATTAGTTATTAATTTCTATATACCCTCACATTAGGTGTGTTTGACAGCTACCCCTGTTCAGATTCCCTTTCCCTCATGGCATCTTATTTCTGTGGTATTTAAAGTGATGTGCTGACATCTTTCCAAGAACATAAGTCCATGTAAACTGTTCTCAGTCTCTGCTTATTTCTGAGCTGGATTCAAAGCATTGATTACCCCAGGGCAGAGAGAGGACAAGGAGCCTGAGCACTGCCAAACTGGCACTGCTATTGATTCTAAAAGGGACTTCTTTGCATCGGAGTGGGGTTTGGATCAAACCCTTGCAGGAGAAAAGCTAGAGCACTAAAACGTTGTCAGTCTGGGGTGGTTTCCTACCTGCACTGCGGGATGTTGCACAACAGTGGGCAAGAGGGTGAGATGGGATTTGTCGAACCTAACCCTAGTCCTCCAAGTTATGTAGACTCCCTTGATAATCAGCAGGAGGATGAATCATCCCTCTGTTAGACAACTGTCCAAGACGAGTGGGCTGGATTGTTTTCTGGATATGTCTGTCTCCTCCATTAATTACAGAGGGTTTAGGTAACTAGTTTGGACTAGACGCTTAATTTTTAGATGGCCAAAGTGCAGGGAAACAAATCCACCCTCAATCTCTGCCTCTGCTTTAGAAAACGCAGACCATTTGTGTGCTTCAGGTTGGATGGGAAACCCTTCATGGCATGGTCTGCCTGGGAGTTTCACTTGGTTCCTGTGTTCATCACAGGAATAGATAGGAGCGAAAAGCTTGGGAGCTGCGGGTGATGGATGTACTGAACTTCAGGTTGCGCACATGTGCTGCTTTGTCTTCAT